CGAGAAAGAGTTCCTGGCTTTTTCCAGACTAACTAAGGGTCCTGTGCACTTCTTGTCCAAAGAAAGCCCCTTCAATGAGCTCACTCTTCTGTTTAAAACAAAGTTCCTGGAGGCCCTGGGCATGAAAGCGGAATCCATCTTGTGCCATAAATACCACTCAACTGGTCTCGGGCAAATCCCTGGAGGACATGACCCTTGATGAAGCCGAGGGGCAGCGAAGAAAGGAGTCATACAGAGGCTGTCACCATGGGCTCAAACCTAACAACTGCCAGGATGGCGCGGACAGTTGGGCACAGGGTCACTATGAATCAGAGCCAACTCGGTGGTACCTATCATCAAACATCTTTTTCCGTCAGATAATTTTCACTCCCTGTCAATCCCGTAAATGCTGTCAGGCAAGGGAGCTGCGGCACACTCCTCTGGACTCCAGCTCCATCTGCAGCTACCGTGACCTGCTAGTTTTGAACTGCTCCCAGTGTTCCTTGTGCCTAGTGGGCAAATTATCTAGCTCTTTATCAGCTGACATATCAGAGCTATATTTTAAGGACAGAAATCTTTAGAGGCAGCCAACTTAACCAAATGGTTGATTATTCTAAGTTGTGCATACCTCAATCGTACCATTGTTCCTCTTGCAGACCTGGCCACAAAAAACCTGAACAACGGGCTGAGCTCAGTTTCCCAGTCTCCACCCAACAAGCAAGCCTGGTCTTTGTGACCTTGAGTTTTGTGCCCCATTTTCCTCCCATTATATTCAGAACCCTCCAGTGCAATCCCTCTCAGATATTTGCCTCCGTTACCTATAACTCTTGCACTCCTTCCAGTGATTTCTCTGGCCATCTCTCAGCGGATATTGCCTTCCCTTCACCCAGGTTCTTGAACTCCACCTGATCTCCTCTGAATTAGCACGCTCTGTACCTACCCTAGTCCAACTTTTAGCTTTGAAACTGTCTTCGTTCTAAATGATGGCCCTGGTTCCCTAGTTTCAATCTTGTAGGGTTGTTTCACTCTGATACTTCTAGACCTTGAATTCCGAATGGCAGTGTCACGTATGTCATCTGAGAGTACCTGCTAATGTAGGTTCTCTAACCAAAGAACTCTCTAGTTTTTCTTGGAAGGCTGTTCCTTTTGCAGATTAGTTATTGATTTTCTTTTTTTCTTTTTACAATTAGCAAAGTGCTATTTGCTCATATTTTGCATTTATTCTTCAATAACATCCTTGGCTTGAGATTCTTTGCCATAGCCCTTAGCAACCACACAACTGCAACCAAACACTTTCCGGGGTTTTCCTTCCCTATCAGTTGTGCAGAGGCCTGCCCACTCTCCAATCCTAGCTTCTCGTGGTCATCCACGTTAATGAGGTCGATGTGGTGCTCGGCACACAGGGCCTCCACTCACTGGACATCCACAGGCTCATCACAGTTGGATGCAAGCACCCAAAGAGGAGCTTGGCGCTTGTCTAAGGCTTTGGCAGCTGCGCGAATTCCACGTGCTGGGCCATCGTGGATGAGGGCGGTCTTCAGCATCTCTTGTAAAGCAGTGTGAACGTCCGTGACGCCTCCAGCAGCAATGCCTTCCCCGGCCAGGGAGGTAGGTTCCGGGTGGGACCGAATCTTGAACACCAGAGCCTCTGGCTCCGCACAGCTCGGCGGGGACAGGGAACGAGCTATTGATTTCTTTTCAAGCATACGGATTTGGTCTTCCACTGATTCAATTCCACTCCTTTACTATCTATAGTATATCTACTCAGTATACTATCTATTTTGAATTGTTAATATGAATCTTCTGGAATTTTACTTGTTTTTGACAGCATTCTAATTTTTTGTTTATGCTGTTTTTTTCTGAATTGTTCAAAAGTTTTGTCTGTGCTTTCTTTTTACATCATCTGTAGCTTTCTCGGTCTTCCTCTCAAGCTGTGGGAAATACCTTAAGTATAATTCTTGAGAAGTCTTCATCAGGTAGTCCCAATGGTAGTTCTTTTGTCAGAAAGGTTCGCAGACTCTCTCTCTATACCTCTATAAATATACAATCTTATTGGGGGCTCTTACAGCTCTTATCACAGCCCACACGTGTCCATCGTGTCAAGCACGTTTGTACGTATGTCGGCAGGCTCTATATTTTTGGTCACTTGTTTGAGTCACTCTATCTTGCGTGTTTGTGTGAAATGAAATGATCTTTTGTCTCCAAGACATTGTGGTGATATATTTATATTTCATTAATGATTTATATGTTGGTGTGTACTTAGACACTCACCACCTGTCTCCTGGTAGGTGCGATACAGAATGGGAGTGTGTGTTCTCTTGTAGCATAGTTGAGGGTAGGTTTGGCTCAACTGTTGACTGCTGTCTCTCAATGATCACGTTTACAGGAGTACAGTAATAACCCTGGCCTAGGAGGTGGGGCTACAGGCGGTATGGGTGCAGCAGCTGGCCAATTAGGCAGGGTTGTTGACTCCCATCCAGTAGGATAAGAAAAACAAACAAATAACACAGCAAAAACAACAGTCTTTTGTATTCTTTGTTGAGCTTTCCCATGCATCTGTGTTGGCCTTTTAAAAAACTTTTTTTTTTTTTAACATTTTATTAGGGGCTCATACAACTGTTATCGCAATCCATACACACATCAATTGTGTAAAGCGCATTTGTACATCATTCTCAAAACATTTTCTCTCCACTTAAACCCCCGACATTAGGTACTCATTTTTCCCCTCCCTCCCCGCTCCCCCCACCCTCATGAGCCCTTGATAGTTTATAAATGGGTATTTTGTCATATCTTGCCCTGTCTGACGTCTCCCTTCACCCACTTTTCGGTTGTCTGTCCCCCAGGGAGGAGGTCACATATAGTTCCTTATAATCGGTTCCCTCTTTCCTACCCACCTTTTAAAAAACTTTAAACTGATCTTTTACAACAGATCTGACCAATGCAAGATGTCATTTTATTTTATTCGACTGCTGCTGCTATGGACACCGACTGTGGACCCGAGTAAAATTCAGGCCTTGAAAACCTAAGTGTTTTCTCTGTCATCATGGTGCTGCTTAATGGTCCAGTTGGGAGGACTTGTTTTCTGTGTTGAGTTATAGTCTGTCCTGTAACAACGATGATCTTCACCTTTATGAGTTTCAAATCCTCTTCACCTTCAGCAAGCAAGACAGCGTCACCTGCATATTACAGGTTGCTTATGATTCTTCCTCAAATTCCGATGCTGTATTATTATTCATATAATCCAGCCTTCTCAGGTTACTTGCTCAGCATAGTTTAAATAAGTTTGAAGAATGCACCCCTGATGCACATCTTTCTTGATACTGAAGCACACACGATCCCCTTGTTTTGTTCTAAGGACCATCTCTTGGTCTCTAATTTCCACATGAGAACAACTAAGTGTTCTGGAATTCTCAGGCTTCACAATGTTATCCATAGTATGCTATGATCTACACGGCTGTACACCTTTGCAGCCAATAAAATACAAGTAGATTATCTTTCTAGTACTCTCTTTTAGCTAAGATCCATCTGACATCAGTAACAATATTTATCATTGTATATCCTCTTCTGAATTGGCTTGAACTTCTCACAACATCTGCCCAATGTACTACTGTTTTTAAATTTTCTTCAGCCAAACTTTACTTGACATGATGTTGTTCAGAAATATCTGCATTTTGTTGAATCAACTTTTGGGAGTGGGCACAGATACAGATCTGCTCCAGCTGGTGCATCAAGTCCACCTCTTCTAAATTTCTTGGCACAGTTGAATGGCCATCTCCAGCTCTGCCTGCACTTGTTGAAAACATTTCACTTGGTATTCTATCAATTCTCGGAGCCTGGTTTTCCACTAATGCCTTCAGTGCCACTTGGACTTCAGTGGAGCTCAAGAGTTTTGTAACATGTTGAGCAGGACAGAGGCCAGGTCAGCCCAAGGGGCTGAAGGGCCAAGGGTCAGAGGAAGGCCTGCCTGCCAGCAGAGCAGAAAACAGGCTGACCTGATCAGAGAATTGTATCCTGAGTCTTGTCCTGATCCTGTTACCTTCAGTAATAAACCCCAAATTGTGGGTCTGGTCAATGAGTTCTGTGTGATCATTGAAATAAATTATCAACCCAAGCAGAGGGATGGGTGGTATCAGAACTGATAGAAGGTCAGAGAGGAGGTATGTCTGATCTCCACTTCATATGAATAAGGCTTAAACTGTTGAAGGCCAGATGCCCCTGGTGTAGGGAGACTCATGGAAACATGAACTTTAAGGAATGGCCCTGGGAAGAGAAACTTCTGATTCTTAAAAGATTGCATTGGTTATTGTTAACTGTAATGGCTGGGGGAGAAAAGCGATGGGAGGGGGGGAGGGTGCTAACCCTCAGAGCTAGAGAGCTAAGCCCCTTCAGACAGAGCACCTTCCACTGTCTAAGGGAGGCATGGGATTGCTTAGGGGCACGTATCTAAAGAGCTCTGGAACACTTTCCCGGGCAGGGAAGAGACCAGGCCAGGGTCCAGAGAGAGGCATGTCTGTCAGCAGAGTTTAAAATAGACTGTCCTGGTTAAACTGTATACTGGGTCTTTCCTAACCCCGAATTGTACGTAACCTGTTACTTCCCGAATAAACTCCGTAAGTCTGAGTCTGGCCTGTGAGTTCTGTGTGGCCACTGTACTGAATGATCCAGTTTGGCGGAGAAACCGAGGCCGGTAAAAGGGGAGTTCCCTTCTCCCCCTCCTGCAGTTTGTGAAGGTCAGGCCCCTCTGCCACGCCATCTTTGCAGCGGTTGGGCAGCAGGATGGTTGGTCCATTCAACACGCTCAGGAGGAGGGAGCATGCTGTCCCCTTCCAGGCCGGACAGGGGTTCCCACCCTTGTCAGTGGGCCGCGGTAGGAAAGGCAGGGGGGGCCCGGGTGGTGCGGGCACCGCGCGGAGGGGCCGAGGGGACTGGCGCTGGGGTCCCCGAGGCTCGCGCTCCGAGAACCAGCCGGGGCGCGCGGCACCCGCAACCGACGCTGCGGGCCCTTCCCTCGCCAGGCTCACCTTGAGGGTCTCGTAGGCCGTGGCCACCAGCAGGAAGGCCTCCTCGGCGCTCTGCAGCGAGCCGCCGGGCCCCTCGAGGCCCTGCTCGGGCCGGTAGCGGTCCGGGTGATAGCGCAGGGCCAGCTGGCGGTAGGCCCGCTTGATCTCCGCCTTGTCGGCCGCGCGGCTCACGCCCAGCACCTCGTAGCAGTCCCGCACGCCGCAGTAGAGCCCCTCCAGCAGGGCGCCCGCCGCCCTGGCCAGCAGCAGCGGCAGCAGAGCCCACCAGCAGGCGCCCACGGCGTCGGCCTCCCCGCGCCGGGCGAACAGCAGCGCCATCGCGGCCGCCACCGCAGACCCGCCGCCCGAGCGGACTTCCCCGACTGCGCGGCG